CACCACACAGTCCTGTGTTGAACCACAAGCCAAATCCCTGCTCAAAACACCTGCCATTTCTGCACCGAGAGTAACATGATTAGACAGGATTGCTGGCTCCCTCACCATCAAATCTGGGTCTCCTGGGCCAGAAAAAGATGCCTGACTTTATTGTGATATGATAGGGACAGGAAGAAGGCCTGTGTCACTGTCACTTAGCCCAAAGATGACTAACTCTAGAAGATAATCACATGGAAGGTGAAGCCGTTGCTCCTTAATCCCAGGCAGCCTCTGACACATCCATCCCTTTTCTCTGAAATATTCTATCCACCTAATCTCTGACTCCTCAGGGGCAAAAGTCTCAGAAACCAGACCCTATCTACTATAACTACTACCCTACAACCTACCTGAGGGTCCACTTTGTCTAAGAAAAGAATTCTATTCCCTAGTTCTCCCTCTCTCATCATCCATTGCCTGGTACTGTATTCAGTTTTGCTGAGCTGCATGTTATGTAGAGCTCTTCAAAGGCATCAGTACACCATACAAACACCGGGAACACAGACACCGGCCACAGGCCAGGGTCTGGGAGAGTCTGGCTTGCAGCAAGGGTGAAACAACAGTTCTATGGAAAGAGTTCATGCCTGGGAAGAGAATAAGACAGCCAGGCCCTCATGGTTCTGCTTTGCAGATGATTAGTGCCTACTCAAAATCTAAGCCTCTTGTCTGTCACCCCCAGAACTTTCCTGACCTCTCCTCCCTATCTATACTCACCATATATTCAAAGATGCCAGTTGAACATCAGCCTAAATCTAATAAAAACTGGACAGTAACTCCTCTTTAAAAAACAAAAACCAATCTAAATCAGCCACTACAAACAATACAATAGGACCACATGAGTGGGACAGATCACTCCCAGGACTTCATGTGGGATGGAAGCCCAAGTGTCTTTTAGCCATTGCACGATTATGGGCATAAGACCCTAAGCCCATATATTCTTCAGACCTCAGTTCCTTTAACACCATAAAATGGGGGGGCTGTATCTAGACGACATGTAGGTCAGGGATTCATATGGAATACAAATACTATAGTACACAGAAGCCATGATAAAGGGCATGATAAAAAGAGAAACACTGATGAGGAGATTTGGGTAAAATTGCTTCCCCTGGGATGGAGGTGCCAGATGGGGAGGATGGGGAAAGAATCTTAAGTATTCCGTCCTTTTAGGAAAAAGATGGACAGAACACAGAACTACTGGCCTCCACACTCAAGCAATGCTGAAAGCAATGAAGGGCAAAAAGGTTGGTTGCTCACCCCAGATCTTCTCACAGACTATCTGGATTGGGACACTCTCTGATGGGCACTCAGATCTCAGTTTCACACATATTCCAAGTTATTGTCCACAGGACATGGTCAAGGAATGTGGGATTAGCATTTGGAACCACATCAGGACATTTGGAGAACATGAACTCAGAGGACAAAAAAATAAAAACATTTAAGCTTGGATAAAATATCATAATCACACAACTCAAGTCAGAAGACAGCCTGTATTTTATATTCCTTTTGGCTTTAAACATACTGATAGAAATGGACCTAAGGAGATTCAGCCTCTTACCCCCAGCACACAATGCATTTTACATGTTTTGAAGCTGAACCTGATAATTAGAACAAAATTTTGCAATGTTACTGGATTTTTTTTTAGTACCTGTTTACCGAGGTTTAGGCAAGACCAAGGGTCCTTAAAACTATATAAATCTTAGATATCTCGCTGATGGGAGCATAAGCCAGTACAGCTGTTCTTTAGATCAATGTGGCACATGTCACAAAAGTCTTCAAGGTGTGTATACCTTTTAACCAAGTACTTCTTATTCCAGAAATCTATTCTAATAAAATAATCAGGAATGTAAATAAAGATTAAGATGCAAGGATTTCCATTATAACAATATTTATAACAAAATATCACATAAAACTACGATTTCCAACAAAGAAGAAAATGAATTTTCAATTAGAGTATATATAATGGAATCACATGAAAGCATTAAAATTAGGTTGTAACTGCAATTTCATTGACATGGAAGGATATTCATTATATACTGCTAGGCTCAATTAAACAAATTTGTATTGAGCACCTGCTATATGGAAGACCATGCTAGGCAGCAAGGACATGGTGGTGAATTTTAAAGGTATAGCTCTTGCTCTCATGAAGCTTATGATTGACCAGGGAAATCAAATATTAAGGAAGTAATAAGATGAGTAAGTAATACTAGAGTGAAGCATAAAGTACCATGGGAGTAAGTAGCAAAGGAATTTAACCTAAGCCAGAGAGGTCATAGAAGCCTTCCTGAGGAAGTGATGCTTAAGCAGTAATGAAGGATGTACAGAGTCAGGCAAGCAAAGAGACAGAGGAAAGAACATTCCAGGAAGATGAATAGCAATTTTTTAAAAAATACATACATCAAAAAAGGCTATTTCGGCTGGGAGCAGTGGCTCACGTCTGTAATCCCAGCACTTTGGGAGCCATGGCAGGTGGATCACTTGAGGCCAGGAGTTCAAGATCATTTTGCCAACATGGTGAAATTCATTCTCTAATAAAACTACAAAAATTAGCCAGGCATGGTGGCATACACCCGTAGTCCCAGCTACTCAGGAGGCTAAGCCACGAAAATCACTTGAACCCAGGAGCTGGAGGTTTCAGTGAGCTGAGATTATGCCACTGTACCCCAGCCTGGGCAACAGAACAAGACTCTATCTCAAAAAAAAAAACAAAAAGACTATTCAACTGTATATATTAAATGAACTCAAATATATGTTTTGTATATGTACACATTTATAAATATAAAATCTAAAAAGATATAAACCATACTCTTATCTAGATGTTGTGATACATACAATTTTTTTACTTTTTGCTTGCCCACAGTTTCTGATTTTTATCTGTAATAAAACATGTGAATAGTATTTGGATGGCTGGGTGAATGGATGGGTGGAAGGATGGATGGGAACCAGATTCAGTGGAAGGTTAGGGCTGGGCATTGCATTACCCTGCTTTCTTCTCCTGATTCTCCTGTCCCTTCAATTCCTAGAATCTAAGAATGCCCCAGAAACATTTTTTCTTCCAATTTGTAAAATCACTTCGGTTTTGCTATGACACTTCAGCTACTTTAGAGGCAAGTTCATTAGCAAACAGTGGAGCCAGCATGACAGTTCATTGGAATTCCAAACAGATTCCTCTCTCAACACTGAACTTTCCAAACCCCACAAACAAAGGATGACTGGCAGAGCTATTTATTGAAGTTACAGCTAAATAACTATTGCAGACAAGATGAAATATTTTAAAACAGAGATGGATGAAGGAAAGGGGAAAAAAAAAGAACTAAAGGCCTTACAGCTAGGGTTTAAGACAAGTCTAGAGGGAATGCAGCTCAAAATTTCCAGATACTGAACTTAGCTAGTTTTCCAGGCTACAATGTAAAATTCCTGACCCAAAGCTGAAAGTGAGGTAAGAGTATATGGGTCCACTTAGCAGAGACACCACTCCAAGTTGAGACCAGCTCCTGGGGGACACACATGTGACAAACTCTCAATGCACATATCTCAAGTCTCTCCCAACAAAACCAGTCTTGCTCAGCTGTGTAACATATTAGGAAGAGGGTTACACTCCATTCAGCAAGTGTGCCTGCACTCGCCCATCCTTAGCAAGCTTGCATTCATTCTTCAGACATTCACTTATTTGGGCATGGAGGATTAAACAATAACAAGACATGTTCCCCAGGTGCCCAAAGCTCACAGTCAAGTGTAGAAGACACTTCATTCACTCATTTAAAAAATATTTGTGTCCTGCCATGTAGCAGGTGCTCAGGATATGGTAACAAACAAGCCCAACAAGGTCCCTGTCCCCCTGGAGCTTATATTCTAGTGAGGAGAGACAGGTACAAACCAAGATGATTTTCAGATGGCAATAAATGTTATGAAAAGATAAAGTCAAATTATAGGATACAGAGGCTTGGTGTGGAACTATGGCCAAAGTGGTGAGAGGGGACCTGCCTGAGGAGGAGACATTTGCAGGATGAAAAGCAGCCAGTTACGTGAGATACCAGGGCATGGACATTAGAGATCCCAGGAAACAGACAGGAATGCAGAGTGACAGTTGCCACACTCAGAGCAGGCACAGGCACTTGGAAAACATGTAGAAGGGACACGTGACCCATTCTGGGGTGTCTCACCAAGCCCAGATGGCCTCCTTCTGTCAGCAGTGATTTACAGAGCACTGAAGGTACTTGGTTCAGGGGAGGTGCTGAGAAGAACTACAGACAGGAAGCTCAGCCGTGGGTTTCAGGTAATTCAGTCACAGAACTAACAGATGGGATCAATTTGGACAAGGCTATTGGACATGCCCAGGAAACAGGGACCCTGGAAAGTTGGCAAAGGTGCTGAAACTGAAGGCCAGATATTGATTATACCTATTTCTCATCCCCCTCAAGCCCTATCATCACTTTTCCAAGTCTCCTCCACGCTCCTATAAAGGCTAGAGGAGGCCCAGGTTCCCTGTCTGGAATGAAGGGCTAAGGAAGGACAATATGTAGGTCAGCTGGTAGAGCACTGGGTCAGCTGCCAGGAAGCCAAGTCCCACTCATTCACTGTGACCTTGAGCAAGTCTCTTCCCTGTCTCAGCCTCAGTGTCCTCCATCTGCAAAGTGAGAGACCAGAAGGCCTGGCCATGAGCCCAGGAATCTACATTGCTAACACCCTTGCCCACATGACGATGGTGCATGCTGAGTTTTGAGAACTAATGAGCTATGTGAGTTATCTTTTTTCCTCATGGTAGAAAGGGCTACATGCCCAACTGGCCTGGACGTGGTTCCATCAAGTCTTCCATGGCACAAAGCACAATATCTGGCTTAAAGAAGCCCCTCATGGTGGGCTAATGGCTTTCTCTTTCCTCCCTCCCCTCATGTCACCACCCTCAACATTCTCCCAGTAGAGTTGCAGCCCCATTACCATGGGTTAATGTTGGCCGCTCACCATACCTGTGAACATTGCACAGAAGTAGGGGCTGCAGGCTGCCAGGACCACACGGTGGGCTTCTATCTCGACATCTTCTGCCACAATCATCACGTCACACAACAGCTGTTTACTGTAAGACACCAGGGAGGGGACAGGATGGGTCACAGAATGGACACCTACCCTCATCTTACAAGGCTATTTTTTTCTCCCACCCAGATTTTACACTATTACTACACAAAGCTGTCATAGGGACTTGCTCTATCTTGAGTTAGACAGGGGGATGGATTCATCAACTTTTCTAAGTTCCTGATATACCTGGCATTCATGCTTTCCTAAGGTACATGGAGAGATCCAACTACTCGGTGGCTGTAAATTCAGGGCTGCTTTATTTGTCTTCACCTCTCTGTTCCCCAATTCCATGAAGTCTGATTGAGAATGAAGGGTTTAGCAACTTAGGAAGGAGTGGCAAAAGCTTGGGGCTGTCATTCGAGTGACTGAGTGAATGCTGAGGAACATGAGCACACCACTGAAGTGTGTCACCAGCAAGACCACGTACTAACAATTCCCCAAGGGACGCACTGTACATGTAACATCAGTAAGAGGCAAGCCAGCCTTAGGTATTTCTCCTTCCACCCAGATTTAACACTATCAACAAGAAGACTCTGCACATAAACACAGTGCTCCCTAAAGACCTGTGCAGACTCCAATCACCGCAATTATTTAAAAATACTGCAATTACCTTTATTTTTGCCACCCCCACTGAACTCACAAAGGGACTTGTCTTATTTAATATTGTATCCTAGACACCTGGCTGCATACCTAGCACATAGCAGGCCCTAAATTTTCACTTAATAAATAAATGAATGAATGAAGTGTGATCAATCCACATTCATAGACAGAATGGAGATATGACTACTTTAGAGATTGATAGGGTGTCACAACCTCCCATCAACCCAAGAATTTTTCCTTTATTACTCTTCCAAGCTCTTGTCATTCCTGTTATCAATATGATAGTGAATATTTATTGAGTTCTATGTGCCAAGCACTGTTGTAAGCACTTTTTTACACATATTACTTCATTTAATCCTCTCTACAACCCCATGAGATAGGGCTAATTGTTATGCCCATATTACCAATGAAGAAACTGAGATCCAGAGAAATAATTTTCCCAAAGTCACACAGAAAGGGAACAATGGAAACAGGATTTAAATGAAGGCAGCTGAAGCCCAAACCCCATGCACGCTCCCCTGATTTGAGAAGGCTGAGGTCATGACTAGATTTTGTGTGAGAATGTTGAAGCCAATTAATAAGTCTACCATGGCTGACAGATGGAAGAAAAGCTACATATTTGCCATCTCTGGTATAGCCCATTAAGTCACTGTCAACTACTAAGATATTTGTTTAGGTTCATACATCAAACAAATAGACTCATAAGGTCTGAGAAGGCTGGAGCTGCAAATGCTGTTAGAGATCATCTGGTCTATGAAACTCGGAGAGGTGAAAAGATGCCCAAAGCCACAGAAGCCTAAGTCTTGAATCCAGCTCTCTTCACTCTAGATACAGTGACTTTTCCACAGTACCACAATGCCTCATGATTGGCTGACACTTAAAATGAGAAAACACAGAAGACAGGTTAGATTCAATGGGGAGAAGTGGTCAGGAAGTGTAATAAAGTATCAGTAAGGAGGTTTCCTTTGGGCACCAAGAGGCAAAACCAGGGGACTGAGACCTTATCTGCAGTGGGCAGCAGACCCTGACCACCAACTGTATCAGGGTAAACCAGTACGACGAGGAACAGAACTGGCTCTGTCCCTAACTGGTTACTAGACCATGGGCAAATAATCTCACCACAGTTTTCACACCTGGTTTAGCTGCCTTTGGGACACATATCATGGGGACCAAATGGAATTATAGATGTCATCTAAAAATGGCATTTTCAGTCCCATTAAATTTTATTCTAAAAATGTATTTCCAACATGAACAGACTCATCGTGGACATTTTTACTTATATTAAGTATTTTAGGAAGAAAATTGAGTTATCACTGCTATTTAAAGTAACCACAGTTTGGGAGGCCAAGGCAGGCATATCACTTGAGACCAGCTGGCCAACATGGTGAGACTCTGTCTCTACTAAAAAAAAGTAGCCCGGTGTGGTGGCAGGTGCCTGTAATCCCAGCTAATTGGGAGGCTGAAGCATGAGAATCGCTTGAAATCCAGAATGCAGAAGTTGCAGTGAGCCAAGATCACACCACTAGACTGTAGCCTGGGTAACAGAGCAAGACTCTTTCTCACAAAAATAAAAAAGGAACCAGTTATATCCAGTTATATTTTTTTGGTAACCAATATTTTAATAAGACAATTGTTGACAGAGAAGGGTCAGAAATGCTGAACAAATGTTCAAGGCTAGGAGCTGAACAAGCAACTGTCAGGGCGTGTTACCTTGCACAAACCCAGGGAAGCTGATAGTTCTTGAACAAATGGGAAAGAAACAAAAAGGAATGAAGAATAAAGATAGAGAATCCACTTAAGCAAATCAATGACAGCAGTTCTGATGAGTGGGAAGTGTGTCTCAAGACCAGAGAAATGCTAACCCGGAAAACTGGCCAAAAGAAACTTGCCAAATACTTAAGATGGGCTTTCCCTGGGGATGGGGAAGCCTGTCTGCACACTGGAGACATCTCTATGTATCCACACTACATGGAAGAAGGAAGTCGTAGCTCTAAAGCACTGCATGGCTCACTAGCACTCCTATTCAATTTACCTGGGATCCTATGGGAGCCTCTTTTCTGAGTTATCACACTACTCCAAAGGACAATCTTGAGGAGAAAAAATGTAGAACTAGACACTTCACCATTTGTGGAAAAGTACAATGCAGTGTTAGGAAGGAGCTGAGGCTCTCAAATCAAGCCTCTCGAACCTCTGCCCCACCACTCTCTAGTGTAGATAAGTATACAATGTGCCCAGAGTGTCACAGAATTGAGATGTGCTGTAAATCAGACAATGCATAGTGCTAACAGAAAATATTTAGCAAACGTTAACTTTTTATATTTTGAAAAACAAATTTGAAAAAATGTTTATTTTTTTCAATTGTCTGCTTCACTTTTTCTCTGTATCTTCTTGTTTCCATATAATATTTGGAACTTACATGGTCCTGGAATTCAGATGTGGGAGACAGTTGAGAGGTTAAGGGGAGGAATAACCAGCAAAAAAAAGACAGTGTGCAGCTAGGTGCGATGGTACATGCCTCCTAGATGCTGAGGAGGCTACAGCAAAAGGATTGCTTTAGCCCAGCAGTTCAAGACCAGCCTGGACAACATAGTGAAACCCCATTTCAAAAAATATGACAGTGTGGTACTAGTATAAGGATAGCTATATAGATCAATAAAATAAAATTGAGAGTCCAGAAACAACCCTCATATTTATGTTCAATTGATTTTTTTGACAAGGTGGCAAGATCATTCAACTGGGAAAAAATAGTCTTTTTAATAACTGGATATCCGTATGCAAAATAATGAAGTTGGATTCCTACCTTACACCATATACAAAAATTTACTTAAAATGGTTCAAATATCTAAATGTAAGAGCTAAGCCTATAAAAACTCATAGAAGAAAACATAGGGGTAAATCTTCGTGACTCCAAATAAGGCAATGGTTTCTTAGATATGACACCGAGAGCACAAACAATAAAAGAAAAAATGATAAATTAGGTATCAAAGTTTAAAACATTTGTGCTTCAAAGGATGCCATCAGGATAATGAAAAGACAAACCATAGAATGAGAAACAATTTTTTGCAAATCGTCTACCTGATAATGAGCTTGTATCTAAAATATATAAAGAACTCAAACTGTTACAACTCAATAATAGACAGAAAAATAACCTAATTAAAAATGAACAAGAGATTGGAATAGACATTTCTCCAAACAAGATGTAGAAATAGCCAATGAGTTCATGAAAAGATGCTCAACACCAGTGACAATCAGAGAAATGCAAATCAAAACCAGAACAAGATACCACCTTACACTCACTAGGATAGCTATAATCAAAAGCACAAACAATAACAAGTGTTAGAGAAGATGTGGAGAAATTAGAACCTCACTGCTGATGGAAATGTAAAATGGTGCAGCTGCTCTGAAGACAGTTTGGCAGTTCCTTCAAAGATTAAAGTTGCCATATGAACCAATAATCCCACTCCCAGACTTATATATAAGAGAGAGAAAAACATACATCCACACAAAAACTCGTACATGAATGTTCATAGCAATATTATTTATAATAGCCAAAAGTCAAATGTGGTATATCTATACAATGAAATATTATTCTGCAATAAAAAGGAATGATGTACTGAGACATCTTACAAGATAAATAAACTTCAAAAGCATTATGCTAAGTGAGAGAAGCCAGACACAAAAGACTACATATTGTACGATTCTAAAACAGGCGAATCTATAGAGACCTAAAGTAGATTAGTGGTTGCCTAGGGCTGATGGGGGGTGGTTGCAATGATGGGGGAAACTATGAAGGAGGTGACTGCTAAAGAATACAGGGTTTCTATTTAGGGTGATGAAAATATTCTAAGATCGTGGTTGCACAACTCTGTGAATATACTAAAAGCCATTAAACTGTGTTCTTTAAACAGGTAAATTGTATGGCATCTGAATTATGTCTTCATAAAGCTGTTACCAAAAGAAAAACAGAAAGCAATATGCTAAGATCGTTCATAACAATAATAAAAGCATAGTGGCAGGCCAGAAAAAAAAAAAAAAAAAAAAAAAAGGATGAGAGCAGAGAACTGTTTGCAGTAGGGAAATAGGAGATTAAAATTGACAAAATGAGAAAAGACAGACTGCACGTGGATTCTACTCACTGGTTGTTTCATTCTCTCTGCCCCTTCTTTTCAGGCAGGTTAGGATGTGCTGTTCTAAGAAGGCCCATGTCATTTCTCCTGACACATCCTTACTCCTGACTTGCCATCCAGCCAGCAAATGGGGTTGCTGGATGGATGGTAAGTCAGGAGTTAGGATGTGTCAGTAAGAGTCACTAGAGCTCTGCCATCCAGAAGCAGCAGCTGTGGTCTGGCCACAGCAGAGCAACGAAGTACAAAAGGAGGAGGAAGCCTTGGCAGTTACCAT